AGATAACGTTTCAGCTGTGCAATGATTTCATGCTGCTTCCATTGAAAAGCTTCAGTCTTCGGAGATGAGCCAAGACCGCAACACTTGAGATCCAGCATTTCCCCACAAAGCAGAAGCTTTCCTCCCATGCAGGACTTTAGTCAAGAGCTGTGCTTTTTCCTTTAAAAAAATTGCAGTGAGCTTGAAGGACACAGACAAAATCATTCTGTTTTTCTCTTCACCCTTTCCTACACCAAGGAGAATTGCAGAAACAAAGGTCACATGCACACCATACATTCAGAGCACATTTAACACACATGGCTGCCCCCCCAATATCCTGATAACTATAGTTTGTTAAGGGTGCTGGGAACCATAGCTCTGTGAGGTTGTAAAGTACAGCTCCCAGGCTTATTTGGCATAGTTCCCAGGATTCTTTGAAGGAAGCCATATGCTTTAGATGTGTGGTAATTGTGCTTTAAGTGTGTGGTGTGGTTGTGACCTAAAGCATGCTCCTAGTGTATGAGTCAACATATAAAATAGGAATAAAACCTATCTGCTTTGAGTTCCGTTAGGAGTGACCCACTAGGGATGATAGCTTCTGGACCAACTTCAAAAGTAGTACCACACAGTAATCAGGACAAGAGGTTGCTGGCACATTGGTGAAAGTGGTTAGGCTATCCGAGTCCAGAAATATCTGTAGCTGTTCCACCACCCTAAGCTGACACACCTAGTGATAAAGATGGATTCAGGAGAACCCCCAGACTATGAACTTACTATTTTAGCGGGAGTACAACCGACTCCTAGGGGCCAAGACATTTTGACTCCTCCATGTTTTTGAGGGGTCTGTGGCCCCCATTGTTCAGAGGGTGAACACACAGCTGAGCGTAGCATGGCTCAGTGGTCGTGGCTCCTGCTGCTGTTGCCACTGCTGGGGGAAGCTTCCCCCATCTTTTCCTTGCATGGCAGGGGGAGAGGAAGGATGGGGACCGCTGGCCACTGGGGCTGTGCTGCCTCTGCCTTCAACACCACCCCCTGGCACTGTTTGACATTAGGACGTTGTGCAGTGTTGTGCACATGGCATCTGGACCTTGTGTCGGGCCCCAGCAAAGCTTTTGAGAAGTTGACCCCTGTAGCCACTCCCCACTATCCAAGCTCATCCAAGTTGGTGGTGGTTGGAATAGGAGGGTAGTGCCCTGAGCTTTGGGATTCCCCAAGGGACACCCAAAGGGATGACTCCCTTTGACTATTTCCCCTTTGGTGGCAAACCTGCCAGTGGCAGATCCACAATCCTAGGGCTGTAGGATGCCCCCCAACCCAGCCAAGAGCTGCAAGATTGAATGTATCTTCTCCCTCTGGACTCTGGGTTAGGCAAGTCTTTAGAGCACTTTTTAGGGGCCTCAAATGATAGCGATTCTGGGCATCAAGCAGAGCAATGAGATGCTCTGATGCTCACTTTCAGGGAAGATCTTATTCACCCCCAGCGATTCAGCTGTTAGCAAATTATTTTATATATTGAACTGCACTTTTTCAATGTAATTTAAACTCCTCAACCATTTCATTTCTAAACATTATTATATACCATATATTAAGGCACAGAACATATTTTCATATGATATTCACTCCTTGAGAGATGAACCAAGCGGAACAAATTTGCTTGGTTTAATAATCAATTGGCAAATCTAAATGAAAAAAATATTATCAAGATGACGAACCAGTTGATGTCTTGGAACTTTTATGTAATTCAAAATGGCTACAGATGATATTGTGACTGTGGTAGACTCATCTTTGGCTGAAATGGTGGAAACATATTTTTGGGTTATTTAGGGGATTTTTTAAATTTATAAATAGAAAGTCTACCATATGTTTCCTGGCTAGTTTATTTATTTATCTATTTGGGTAGACAAAGTCAGCATTTTGCACCTGCCAAAGTCATTAGAAGGAAAAGATTGCGCCAAGGACCACAGAGCGCTACTGTATGAGTAAAGGTTGAAGACAAATAGCAGTGTGCAGGTATTGGTTAGAATAAAAATAAAGATAAAATCTCCCTCCCTCTCTCTCTCTCTCTCTCTCTCTCTCTCTCTCTCTCTCTCTCTCTTTCTCTCTGTCTCATTCTGGAGGCTGGGAGTTAACATCAGTATATGGCTTTGTGCCCACAGCTGAATGAAAAGGAACAATATGAAAACATTTTTCTGTATTTGTTATTCGATAGCATATCCTAACTCTGCTTTACCAGGGGTCAAATTAGACTGCTGGGCAAAGTTTCAAATGGTCTCTAAAATCTGAGAGAAGAATGAAAACGGGGGGAAAGGGTCAGCTTTATGCCTTCATTCAGACTGTAGAATTCTTTATTTCCGGTTCCTTTGGGAATGGAATTTCCATCTGTGGAAACCTACATGTTTCATTTGAGCATTTCATTAGGTACATGCTGATGGATCTGGCTTTTCTGAGTTTCTCTTGGGTTTTTGAAATAAGTGTTTTAGACTCTTTATTCTGTCTTGCTCCTCTCTCTCTCTCTCTCTCTCTCTCTCTGTGTGTGTGTGTGTGTGTGTGTGAAGAGCTCACTGGTTGAGTATATGTTTTGGATGCAGAAAGCCACAAGTTCAATTTTCATGGCATCTCTGTGAAAGACCCCACTCTGAAATATTGGATTCTACTGTACATCAGTGTAGACATGGGATAGCCATGATGGTGCTCTCCAGATGTTGTGAACCACAGCTCCCATTGCTGGTAAGGGCTTCTGAGAGTTGTGGCTCACAACATCTAGAAAACACCACATTGGCCACTCCTACTGTAGACCAATGAGATGGTCTACTCCTCATATTGTTGGACTCCAGCTCCAAGTCAGCATGGTCAGGAATGATGGATGTTGTAATCCAAAACAACCAGAGGGGGCCAGGTCAGTTGGGGAAGGTTTGTGTAAACCAGAGGTGACTGGACTACAGATGTTGCTAGACTACAACTTCCATCATCCCTGAGTCACAGCTTTCCTATTCCTGGTGTAGACAATGCTGAGTTACATTGTCCAATGATCTGACTTGGTATGAAGCATGTTCCTATGCTTTGCTGAGCAACAAAGCAACTTGGAGATGTTTTCTCTTTCCATTGATTTAGATCTTTCATCAATTTTTTCATCTGAACCATTTCCCCAGTACAGCACAACCCAAAGGGTGTGTCTCCTGTACATATTTAATTGAAAAAAATGAGTTGTGCATCCTCCATACATTTTTTCTGGACCCATATTTTCTCCTTCTAGTCTATGGGTTGCAGTTTTTTTTATTAAATGAAATATTTACATGCTGTTGTATCATAAAAATAAAAATCACAGTAGTTTACAGCAATATAAAAAAATAAAACCAAACAATATAATCATAAAAACAGTGAGAAACAATTAAAAGCAAAACATTTATCCAATCCAATTCAAATAACTTTATCGTACTAGCTGTTGACCATGACAAATCTGAATCAAAAATAAAAACAAGCGAAAGAGGTGTCACGCCACAAATAATTTAGATGCAAAAAGAAATTAAAAACAAGCATCAGTAGACCACTGTAGGGGATGTTCTCTTAATAGCCTGCATAGGCCTGCTGGTATTTAGTCCATATACATTAGCCTGTTCTCTAGTGACACAGTTTTCTTGTACCCAATATAAGGCATCAAGTGATACTAGCAAGTCAGAAGGCTCATATCAGCAGAGGTTGGACTGGGTAGACTGTACATCTAGCATCTCTTTGCAAGCAGAGTTCTACTCACGTAACAGGACTTCAGTTTCTTAAACTTTTGCTCTGGGGGTCCCCTCAACCATTTGGCACTGGTGGGTGGGTCGGTGGGGGGTGGTACATGAGAGGAAGAAGAAATTCTGTTGTGCCAGCAGAGCTGCAGTATTGGATACAATCCGATGTGTCCATGGATATTATTTCAATAAACCATCAGTTCAAATCTGCAGTACAACCAATTCAGTGGTGAAAAGGAAACCACAGCTACCATTGGAATTATTTCCAGGAGAATACTGAGCTCAATATGAAGACAACAACTACAACACTCTCCAGTGGATATTGGTCTATAATTTGCTGCTTAAAAAAAATAAAAATCTTCGTACTGTAAGAGAGGACCATATGGGCAGAGTACTATGCAGGCAAATTTTGGTGACACTCTCCTTTTTGAAAAATTAGTTTAATTTTGTCAATCCTTGAGAAGGGAAAAATTCTATGTACTTGGAATGTGTTGGATGGCAACACACCATGATTTATATTATCAAAAGTAAATAAAGTATGCATCATAAATAGCTCATCCAGGCCTAGTCAGGCAAAAAGCGCTGGATGCTCTCCAGACAGATTTCGGCATGCTCGCATCCTGCTGTAAAAATTGAGGGGATTTATGCACTTAACCATGCATTTAAATTCTGTTGATTTCATAAGGACTTATTTGATGTCCTTGAGATTTCATAGTGATTGAAGAGTCCGGACACTCTCTTGAATTACACTTGCATTTGAAAATACATGCAAACGTAATGGGAGAACTATTGGTATAACAAATGCCAGTTCTTTGCAGGAAAAGATATCTGCATAATGAGCTGCAGCCTTGGAATTTAAAGGTCTGGTTTTTTTAGAGGGCTGGCACCTTTCAAAATGGCAAAAGTATAATGTTTGCAGTCGCCACTGGGATCTGGGTTGCAGTCCAATGCACAATGAACTCAAAAACAAACAAACTAATAAACGACAATTGTGGCGTGTTAAATACTGAGAAATTTATTTTGGCATGTACTTTCATGAATTAGAGATGCCTGAAATGTTATCATCATCACCATCATCATCATCATCATCATGTGATGAAGTGAACTCTATGTTTATTCTAGAATGCATTTCTCAGTGCCATGGTGACTGTGCTGGGCAGTGCTATGCATGTTCACTCAGAAAGAAACCCCATGGTGTTCAACAGGGCTTATAGAACCATAGAATCATTTAGTCCAACCTTCAGCAATGCAGGAATCTCAACTAAAGCATCCATGACAGGATCCATGTGAGGATAGCTCAGCCGGTAGAGCATGAGACTCTTAATGTCAGGGTCCTTGGTTTGAGCCTCATGTTGGGCAAAAGATTCCTGCATTGCAGGAGGTTGGACCAGATGACCCTTGAGATTCCTTCCACATCTATAATTCTATGATTCTAACCTCTCCTTAAAACCTCCACTGAAGGAGAGTCCACCACCTTCTGAGGAAGTCTGCTTAATTTCTTGTAAGGGTGTGGAATGTCAGGGCAATCCTATGCACGTCTAATCAGAAGTCAGCCTCACTGAGGCCAATGGGAGTTAGTGTCAAGAGGGTGTGGATCAGGATCTGTGAGGGTCATGGCCTGATGAGAACCCTTAGGGCCAGATAGTGAACCCTGGAGGGGCATGTTCAGCCTCTATGTTCCCCACCTCTGCTACAGACATGGAGCTAGGAATAAGTCCTATTGACCTTCATTGCCTGCATGGAAGATAAAGAGATGAGTAGAAATCTCAGGTTTTCTCAAGGCCGTAATATAGCCTACTGTACAAAACAGTAAGAGCTGCATCTCACGCTGCCCACTTTTTGGGTTCTGACCCTGTCAGTTTTGCCTTGAGCCCCTGCCCACCATGAAGCCCCTGGAAGATTGCCTGTGTGGGAATGTGGCGCTCAAGCAGATAAATATATAGAATTGCAGCCTAAGACACCTTGTTGGTTTTGCTGCAACAGGCTTCTATCAAAGGCAGATTTAGGGGAGCGTGACTGGTTTGGTCGCACTAGGAAACCAGTGGAATCTTGCGGTGCCTCAGGGGGCTCTACAACTTGTAGGTAGAATGGAAGGGGAGAAATGGTGGTGGGGCACAGAATTTTGGCGTCACACTGGGTGCCACTGAAATTTGAGACTCCAAGGTCTACCACTGCATCCATGGCTACCCCTCCAGACACTATTAATTCAGTAGCTGCCCTACATTGGCCAACCAATATTTTGAATGCATGGTGACCATAGAGCCCATCATCTGTTAGAACAGGCTTCCTCAACCTCACCCCTCCAGATGTTTTGAGACTACAATTCCCACCATCCCTGACCACTGCTCCTGCTAGCTAGGGATCATGGGAGTTGTATGCCAAAAATATCTGGAGGGCCGAGAAAGCTTGTGTTAGAACCTTTCCTTTTACCCACGTCCAAAGGATCCCACTGCATGAGGCTGATAAGCAAGAAAACTAGAACACAGTAGGATACCAAATGAATTCATTTTGAGATGTGATCTTTAACAAGGAGATTTTTTTATGTCCTGGATTCAGCCAACTAGGCTTCCCTACTCTTTTTTTTTTACCGTTCTTTTTTTTACAAACACTGTATCCTGTTTTTTCTGGTAGTAGAGGCTGCTAATATGTGTAATAAGATATTTCACATTAGTGGTCCCTTGAGAATGCTTGAACCACATCCCACAGGAGCATGAAGTCTATCCAGGCCTGGGGGTGGTATATTAGATCCCTCCCAGGTGGTGTTTAACTTTTGCCTGAAATGAATTAGAAGACACTCCTTAGTGTTTTCTTAGTGAATTAAGGGCAATGATAGTTTCCTCCTGTAATTGCAACTAATCTTAATGGAAAGCCAGGAAGAATATGATGGCCTGCTGAGCCCAGGTAGTCACCCAACAAATATTTTGACACCTCCTTTCATTCCAGGATTGCCACTGAGCACTCAGCACGGCTTCCCACTTGTGAAAGGACGTGCTAATGCCTTTAATCCAGTTTTGAAATTCTCATTAGCATACATCTAATTGGCAGCTGATCTCTTGGAAAAACAGGGACCCGCAGCAACACCAGTCAACTTCTGCCTGCAAAGCTAGGGACCAAACAGAGCTATTGGAAAGGCTTAATCTGAATGGCTAATTTAGAAAACCTGCCGATGTTAAATGTTTGCAGATTTCTCTCAATTAGCAATTAAGAACGTAAGAAGAGTCTGCTGGATCAGGCCAGTGGCCCATCTAGTCTAGCATCCTCTTCTCACAGTGGCCAACCAATTTAAAAAGAGATACGTAACATGCGTCCACACATCATAGTTTGTTAGCGTTAAGGCAGCAAAGGTCTGCTGTCTAACCAGGACTGGCCCTACCATTAGGAAAAATTTCCTGGCCTCCTCAGATGGCAGATGCTCGGGGAGCATATAAGTTAAGGTTACCAGATTTTTTTCCATGAATCTGGGGACACATTAATTAATTAATTAATTAATCACTACACATTCGGGATGTTGATGCTGCAGCGATGGCAGTGGCAGAGGGGCGGCCGCCACCTTGACCTCAACCACCACATTTCCCCTTCCTCTGAGGCTTCTATCTCCTTTCTCCATGAGCCTGGGCAGCCCCTGAGTTATTGGCTCTTCGGTGGTGGTGATGGGAAAGCGGTGCACGGTGGGGCAGGCATGGAAGGTGGAGAAGGAGGGCCGAGAGTGGTGGTGGCAGCAAGGCTTGGGCAGCGCGATGCCTCCCCATCAGAGCAGCCCCAATCCCATTCCTACTTGCATGTAAGCAGGAGGGGGCGAGGATCCCTCAGCTAGGAAGGGAGGCTTTCCGTTGCCTAACTGAGAGATCCCTGCCCCGCTCCTGCTTGCACGCAAGTAGGAGTTGGGAGGCTGCTCCGATAGGCAGCATGAAGACTCCCTTCACAGCTTAGTTGCTGGGGTCAGGGAAGGTGAAGGCCCCCCGGAAGCTGCATCTTAGAGCCCCTGCACCACCATCATATGGCGACTTCCGAGCAGCTCCTGAAGCCAGCCAGAGCCAACTGCTCTGGGCTGCTGAGACCGCTGCTGCTGCGTTTCCCGAGAACATTAGATGAAATCCGGAGAAATTCCGGGGATGCAATTTGTCCGGGGAATTATTCACAAATCCGGGGACTGTCCCCAGGAAACGGGGACGTCTGGTAACTCTAATATAAGTGCCCCACTGCCTTTCCTGCACCCCCCTAAACCAGCTTGCTGGCATCAGGTGCAGTGGAGAATGCTGCCATTACACCAGTGCTGAAGTAAGCTTTAGCTCCTAGGCAAGAAGGCTTCTAAATATGAAAAGGAGCAGGGATTATTTTTTCTTTGCCTCAGGCAGTGAAATGTCTTGAGCTGGCTCTGTTTCTAAGCATGGAAATTTAATTCCATGGATCCTCTGATTTCAGAGGTTTTATGTATATCTTCAAAACCATAGGGATTACAAACTTTTTTCATTTCATTTTAAAAAGAAAGTCAAATTCCTGGGATGCTGAATTCTATAGCTAATATCATATTCTATGCCCTTTGCAGGGAAAAACACAGCCCTGGCTCTGATTGTGACATTTTGCCCAAGGGTAGCCATTATTCCCTAAGCATTGTGTTCCTTGTACAGTAAGTCTTAGGATCCAGCTGTTGGAAATATTTTCCACGAGTGCAGACATCCTATTGCTTTACATAGTTCAACTGAGTTATAATAATAAACACTCTCCGCTGATATGGGCATGCCATCTTATGCACCAAACACCTTCATATTCCACCGCCATCTCTTTTAGATTTGCAGAATTATTCTCGTGAAACAGATTCCAGAGGTTGCTAATTCATTGTGCACAGGAATGAAAAGCCAGCTGCTCACGGAAAAAGCGTGAAATCATTTGTATTAGTTCTGCTGAATTGCCTCTTTATAAAACTAATTTACAGTTTTTCTAAAGACAGATGTTTTGCTCTGCATTGCTAAATGCTTCAGCTCTCAAATAGGATTTGCCAATTTATATGGTGCAGGTAACAGAGAAATCAGTAACTGGTGCTAAAATGTTTATAGTGAAAGCAGCAATGGAAGAAGAAGAAAATTAACCAAGCCATATTTGAATCCAATAAACAAAGCTGCAGGTTGTTTAAAAATCATGGTTTTCTTTATCTGTGAAAATGTGGAAATGCAACTAACCTCAAAAAGGCAGCATACACCACTGTAACATTGAAAACATATACTCTTGTCGTCTGCTATAAATAAAGTTAAGCACTGAGGGTATTTAAAGGAATTTTGACTTCTAATTTTATTGTTGAGTCCAACTCAAGCACTGCCCCCTTCTTTTTGGCTTGAAGTATGGGCATAATTGGCAAATAAAATTTAATCTTGATTCAGTCCTGTCTTCAGATAAGTGGGGGTGTATTTAAAGGGCCCACATGTTTTAAGGAACGAATGAGGTTTGATGTATATTAACTTATTCGGTGAATGAACATGATGCAGCTCTATCTTTGTTGGAACTACAGAGAAAAGAGAGAAATTTGAAATTGAGATTGGTTCCCGAGAGTGAGGGAGACAACCTTGTGGATTTTCTTACACAGAACTTTATGGAATTCTGGCAAGAGGAGCTGCAGGAAGAAGAACTTGAAATAACAACAGCTTTCCGGCTGGGCAGGAGGCAAGGTAAGAAGCCAAGGGATTGTTTGATCACATTGAGATCCAAAGGAGAAAGAGATAAGATATTGAATTTGCATTATCAAAAGGCATTGGAGATTGAAAATAGTCAAGTACAAATTTTTAAAGATATCCCTAAATATATTTTAGAGGTGAGAGCCTTCTATAAAGATTTGGTCTACCTGCTGAAGAAAAATATCATACCCTTCAGGTGGGAGTTTCCACAAGGATTGTCTTTTACTTTCAAAGGAAGGAAGGTTAAAATAAGAACAGTTCAAGATAAAGAACAGTTTCTGGAGAGATATCAGGAGGACTTGCAGAAAGGAACAGTAGAAACAACAATACAAGAAAAAGGAGTGACAGACATTGCAAACTTGTCATTTGGACTCATACCATCATCTGAAGATGAACAAAAGCTAGGAGCAGTCGGAGGAACAGGTACTTAATAACAAAATGTCTCTGCAACTTCTTAGTTGGAATTGTAATGGTTTGAACCTTCCCAGAAAAAGACGTCAAGTTTTTCATATTTTGAAAAGAGAACAATTAGATCTAATATGCCTACAAGAGACCCATGTGACCAGGACACATCGGAAATTATTAGTAAACAAGAGACTTGGACAAGAATTTATTTCATCAGATAAAGTTAAGAAAAGAGGCGTGGTGATTTATGCAAAAGAAAAATTGGCTCCAAAGATGATATTTAAAGATGAACAAGGAAGATACCTGGCAATTGAAATACAAGTTCAAGGAGAAAAATTTTGATAGTTGGAATCTATGCACCAAATGACGGGAAGGCGGAATTCTTTAAGAAGTTGCATGAGACTTTAATGGACTACTTAGACTACAGAATTGTAATGATGGGAGACATGAATGGCGTAGTTTCCACAAATATGGACAAAGCACAGAGACAAGTAATTTCCAAGGAAGGGAGACTACCAAAGACCTTTTTTGAAATGACTGAAACTATGGACTTGATTGACATTTGGAGAACAAGGAACCCTCTTGAGAGAGAGGGAACTTTTTTCTCTGAAGCAAAAATGACATGGACAAGAATTGACCAAATTTGGGTAACTAGCAGTATGGCGCCAAGGATTAAAAAGGTAGAAATCTGCTCAAAGACTTGCTCCGACCATAATGCTGTAAAGATGGAGATGAAACTAACAACAACTGGATCCTTTAGATGGAGAATGAATGACACCCTATTTAGAGATGAAGAGATTTATAAGAAGGCCCAAAAAACAGTGAAAGATTATTTTGAGATAAATTTGAGAACAGAAGTGGAAAAAAGAATAATTTGGGACGCAAGTAAGGCCGTGATGCGAGGTTTCCTAATACAACAGAACTCCATAAAAAGGAAAAATCAAAATGAAAGGAAAGGAAAAATTCTGGAAAAAATAAAAGAAGGTGAAAAGAAATTGAGGTCTAAACCAAAGTCTCATGAGATTCTGAAAGAAATAAAGCACTATCAGGTGCAATATATGGAATTGATGAATCAAGAGATAGAATGGAAAATAAAGCAAATGAGACAAAAGACATTTGAATCAGCAGATAAATGTGGGAAATTTCTGTCATGGCAATTGAAAAAGAGGCAAAAATTGAACACTGTGACAAGTTTAGAAGTGGATGGAAAGATTATCCACAAACCAAATGAGATAAGTAATTGCTTTCAAGGTTATTTCAGGAAATTATATGCACAAGGGCCAGTTAACGAACAGGAAATAGAAGAATTTGTTAAGAAACATGGATTACCAAAATTTCAGAGCAAAGCAGAAGGATTTTGAATGAGAAAATAACAGGACAAGAAATAGAGGGTGCCATTCAGAAGATGCAATTGGGAAAAGCTCCAGGACCAGATGGTTTGACCGCCAGATATTATAAAGGGTTGAAGGAATGGTTAGTACAACCACTGAAGGAAGTATGTAACGAAATTTTGGAGGGGAAAAAGGCACCAGAGTCGTGGAAAGAAGCTTTTATCTCACTTATACCGAAAACTGAGACTGAAAAGAACCAGGTTAAAAACTACCGCCCTATATCATTACTTAACGTGGATTACAAAATTTTTGCGGACATTATGGCAAAAAGACTGAAGAGAGTGTTGGTAGGGAGATTCATAAAGACCAAACTGGCTTTCTTCCAGGGAGATATATGTCGGACAATGTGAGGAACATTATAGACATTTTGGAACTGTTAGAAGTGGACATTAATAGGAAGGCTGTTTTAATTTTTGTGGATGCGGAGAAAGCCTTTGACAATATTGGTTGGAGCTTTATGAAGAAGAATCTCCAAGGGATGGGGGTAGGTCAAGGGTTTGAAAATGGTATAGGTGCAATATACTCTAAACAAAAAGCAAAGTTAATTGTAAACAATGTGGTTACGGAAGAAATACCTATAGAAAAGGTACACGACAGGGGTGCCCAATATCCCCTTTACTTTTTATATTAGTCCTGGAGGTTTTGCTAAATATGATTAGAGGAGACCAGTTGGTTAAAGGAGTACAAGTCGGAGCCAAACATTATAAGCTAAGGGCATTTGCAGATGACCTAGTATTGACCTTGCAACAGCCAGATACTAGTACTAAAAGAGTATTAGAACTAATTGAGATATTTGGTCAAGTAGCAGGATTTAAACTGAACAAACAGAAAACGAAAGTGTTGGACAAAAATTTAACGTTGGCCGAAAAAGAGAAATTTCAGAATGAAACAGGTCTAGTGATAACGAAAAAGTAAAGTACCTGGGGGTAAACTTAACATCTAAGAATGTGAATTTATTTAAGGACAATTATGATAAATGTTGGACAGAGGTAAAGAAGGATCTAGAAATATGGTCAAGGTTGAAACTTTCTTTGTTAGGCCGAATTGCTGTTATCAAGATGAATGTATTGCCTAGAATGTTGTTTTTATTCCAGACATTGCAGATTTTGGACAAGATGGACTGTTTCAAGAAGTGGCAGAAAGATATATCTAAATTTGTCTGGCAGGGCAAAAAGCCCAGAATAAAATTTAAGATTCTAACTGATGCTAAAGATAGAGGGGGGTTTGCCCTGCCGGACTTAAGACTCTACTATGAATCGGCGGCTTTCTGCTGGTTGAAACAGTGGCTACTTCTTGAGAATACAGATATTTTGGATCTAGAAGGGTTTGATAATAGATTTGGTTGGCATGCATATATATGGTATGATAAGGTTAAACTGCATAAAGGTTTCAAAACCATATTGTTAGGAAAGCATTATACAATGTTTGGATGCGGTATAAAGATCTATTGGAAAGTAAAACTCCCAGGTGGTTGTCACCAATGGAAGCTAAAGAGGTGAAAAACTTAATATGGAGTCTAAATGGCCAAAATATTGTGAAATTCTAGAACAAGATGGGGAAAAAGTTAAATTACAGAGCTATGAGAAATTAAAGTCCAAAGTGCGAGATTGGTTGCACTACCTTCAGATAAACGAGACATTTAAACAGGACAGGAAAATAGGTTTCCAGATGGAGAGGTCAAAATTAGAAACAGAACTGTTAGAACCCAATACTAAGAATCTGTCGAGAATGTATAATCTGCTGTTGAAATGGAACACACAGGATGAAACGGTGAAATCAGCTATGATAAAATGGGCACAAGATATTGGTCATAACATTATGTTTGCTGACTGGGAACAGTTGTGGACCACCGGTATTAAATTTACGGCATGTAATGCCTTAAGAGAAAACATTATGAAAATGATGTATAGGTGGTACATGACCCCAGTCAAGCTCGCAAAAATTTATCATCTGCCCAATAACAAATGTTGGAAATGTAATGAGACTGAAGGTACTTTTTATCACCTTTGGTGGACCTGCCCGAGGATAAAAGCTTTTTGGGAAATGATCTATAATGAAATTAAGAAGGTTCTTAAATGGACCTTCCCTAAAAAACCCGAGGCTTTTCTCCTGGGCATTGTCGGCCAATTGGTGAGAAGGAAGGACAGGACGTTTTTTATGTATGCGACTACAGCAGCAAGGATTCTTCTAGCAAAGTATTGGAAGACACAACAACTACCCACACTGGAAGAATGGCAGACGAAGGTGATCGACTATATGGGACTGGCGGAATTGACTGGCAGAATCCGTGACCAGGGGAAAGAGACAGTGGAAGAAGATTGGAAGAAATTTAAAGTTTATCTTAGAACTTGTTGCAAAATTCAGGAATGTTAAAATGTCAAGGGGTTGGGAAATAGAGAACTGCAGCTGTAATTAATATTATTAGAAGAACTTAAAAGAAATTGAATTGAATAATTAGTTGATTGAGGAGTTGCTGAAGAAATATAAAACAAGGATGCAGAAAAGGGGAGGTATGGGGAAGTCCGGAAAGTAAGGCTTATGAAAAATGGTTATGAAATTATACATGTTTATATGTTTGTATGTCGGTGTATTGTGTATTGTTTGTTTTCTTATCTTGTGTTTGGAAAATGAATAAAAATTTATTTAAAAAAAAAAAATATTAACTTATTCATTACATATGTGATGAATATTACTGCCACTTAAATTTCAAACAGTTGCACGAATGCTTTTGAAGGCAACATCATGGCAAACCTCACATCTTGCCGTGCCGTACTGAGGCAACCAGTGCTAGACTGACACCTAAGCCCAGATTTGCTCACACAGCAAACTGAAGGAGACTATTTATTTTTGAAAATAATTTGAGATTTTTCAAAATCTCAAAATGAGAGAATTGTGCACACCATACATTAAAAGCAGCCCCTCACAAGAATCCTAGGAATGATAGTTTGTTAAGGGTGCTGGGAACTGCAAACTACAGTTTCCAGAATTCTTGGAGGGTGTGTGATTGAGACATACTCAGAGCAGACCTGTTGAAATCAATGGACAAGTTAGTTGTGACCATTGATTACACTGGGTCTTCAGCTTCCAGATAACCTATTTCTCAAACAGAGGCTCTTTCTTACTACCTGATCTTTCCCACTGCAAATGTGGTAGATGGAACCTAGACTTTCCTACATGCAAAGCATATATATTCTGCTCGATTGCTGAGCTAGGCTTCCCCTTGTATATTTTCTAAAGCAACCTTCAACATCTGGCAACTTCCAGATGTTTCAGGCTACAGATCTCATCAGCCCCAGCTGTATTGCAAGGTACCAGGTTGGCAAAGGCTGTTCTAAAGTATTCTTGGGGATGATCATGACAATTATGGAAAGTATCTTGCATTTGGTATTGGATGAAAAATGACCTGATCTTCTTAAGCAGTACTGTTTGAAATATGATTGTGGAGCTTGCCCCTTGAAATGAGGGAAAAAAGCTTCCCTGTTCCAGATGTGCTATGGGATACCACAGCATAATTTCCACCAGGGATCGCAATAAAAAAAGCACATAATGTGACTTACTTTTATGGTTGGTTAAAGCAGGGATAGGCAGAAGGTAAATCAGGAACGACTGGTAGTTCAAGTGATTTGCAAGGATTTCTGACTCCCAATTTTTTTTTAGCAAGGGAAGCAACAAAATGACTCCCTACACCCACAATCATTATATTGCTGAAATGAAGAATCTGGGATGGGGAGATGGTAATCAGAAATATATTTTTGTATGAAAGGACTGTGAGCTCAGTTCATTTCTGGTACTTAGAATGAATTCCTGGACTCAATAATTCTTTCATTCTCTAGATATGTTTCCTGCGCCTGGCTCAGATTCTTAGATCCCAGTATATGAATTAAAAAAACCCCTAAAATAGGTCTTGCAAGCCTAAACCTAACCCTTAGTTTTAAAGAAGTGTCCAACAGGGACATTGCCTAAAAGACTCAGGACATAGGCCTATGACACAAACTTGCATATTTATTTATTAAATTTATATCCTGCCCTTCCAAAGCAGCCCAAGAAGGCATATGCCAATGACAATGTAAGTCTCTGGGCAAATAAAGATGGTGACACTGGGACTGTGCTTTGTCAAATACACAACGGGAGCAGAGAGGTTTAAAACATGAGAGAGGATGAGATTTGTGGTCCAGCACAAAATCTCAACACTCTAGCATCAAAGCTTCCTGGACTTTGTAAGCTCTGCTTAGAAGATGAGCACTGATTTATTAAAAACTTAATTATACTCAAACTTATATCTAAACAGCACCAAATGCCAGGTCAAAATCAAAAACTACTAAGTCGAAATCCCCCACAAAGTTTGCACCAAGCATGTACAATTGTAAAATTTCTCAAACTAACAACCAAACAGTGCCAAAATTTGGTTCTCTAGCTCTTCTGTCTTTTTTCACATGGCCTAAATTGCTCCATAAAGACCTCAGTCCCCCCCACCCAGCGGCAGCTTAATCAACCATAGCGGGAAGCTAGGAATTGGTATAGGTGTGCTTGGCACTGAGCTCAGATGGAAAGGCTAATTCATTATTTGTGCAGGGCTGTGGATCAAGCCAAATCTGTTGTGTTTGAAACAGCGTGGCCACATTTTTATCCTTTATTAACACTTCTATTGAGGGTGTGCAATTGTCCAGTATTAAACTTGGGTCCTGTGGAGGAGACATAAGATGATACTCTTTCTGCAAATGTTGCTAGCCCAACCACTTGCAGTTATTCCTAAATTATATTGATGTACAATGATTAATGCGAGGTCAGGTTTGTTCTGCTTTAGCTAGTATCTTAATGTTTATTGCACTGTTTTGCATAAAATCAATAAATTAAAGACATACACTTAAAGAGATATGTGTGATACAATGAGCTTATATTTGCATGTGGAGCAGGGTTGCCACAATCATTTTGATTTCAGAGGTGCTTTTCCTGTACAGAAACACTCCCTCAGCTGAAATTTTCAGGGCAAACCATAGATTTTGTCAACCGATGCCCCTGTGTCTGCAGGAAATTGCTGAGCTTTGTGGGAATGAGGCAAATCACCAGCTATCGCCACTCATATGTACATCAGAGAGATATGACCACAGTCATGACTGTCTGCATTCCACTTGCTCACCTGATGGATCAGCAGTTTATTTTAATTTGATGAATGGAAGTGGTCGTTAAATCAAGCAAAATTACTGCAACATTTCACAATCCACATCATACTTTTTTGAGTAGTCCTCTTTTCTGAGCTGTTCTGAAGGAAATATATTGCAGTTTCAGTGTAGAAAATACTGATAGGATTCCAGAGGTTTAAAGTCTTTCACTCAGAATATGCAGGTTTTTAATGGAAATGAATGATTATATACCATATATATATATATATATATATATATATATATATATATATATATATAAACTTTCCTTCACAGCTTTCCTTCTGAGCAGCATTGCAGGGAAGGTGTCTCCATGAATTTTCAAGACTCTGAAATGCTGTTCACGAGGACTTGAAGCTAGAAAATCTGTGTGTCATTTATTCTCTGAATATGATTAATGATGTTGAGTGTTTTGCAAGACATTATTAAAACCAGAAGCCTATGACTTCATTGTCTCTGACAATGACTTTGAACATGGGGTCAGTTCTTCTACTTTTAAATTTCTTTGCAAGATTAAAAGGAAAGTAAAAACAATTGCCTTTTGGGGGGCTTGACACAGATGTGACAAAGTGGGACGCACACGTTTTCAATATGTTCCTTTCAATGAAACTTCACCTCTTTTCTACAATATGACTAATAAAAAGAACAGATACTGTATAGCCACCAAGAAAACATTCTAGTATCGAGCAGTCTTAATTATCACACACACACACCTTATTTGACTGTGTGTGTGGGGACTTTTCTTATTGTCAGTGTGGTGTAGTGGTTAAGAGCGGTAGTCTCGTAATCTGGGGAACCGGGTTCGAGTCTCCGCTCCTCCACATGCAACTGCTGGGTGACCTTGGGCCAGTCACACTTCTTTGAAGTCTCTCAGCCCCACTCACCTCACAGAGTGTTTGTTGTGGGGGAGGAAGGGAAAGGAGAATGTTAGCCGCTTTGAGACTCCTTAAAGGGAGTGAAAGGCGGGATATCAAATCCAAACTCTTCTTCTTCTTCTTCTTGTCCTTCCTGAATGACAATGATCGATAATAATAAAAAAGGAAATATGAATATTCTAAAATTCTTAATTGGGTTGAGGGGGATGGAGGAGAATTTCAATTCAATAAACATTTTAAAGTGAATTTGCATAACTGACCATTTCCAAAACAATACACAAGCCAAAATGCACACACCTTTGAAATTTGCACTTCTCTGAATTTTGCAATGCCTTTCTCCAGTCAAGTAACATATACAAAAGCATACTGCATATACTCCAACCAAGTAATGCATCCATAAAACTGCAGATATACATGAAAATAACACACAAAAATATTTATTTTAGGGGAAATTGCAGGCAAAAATATGTATATTAAGAGAAATGTACACTGACGTGCTGGTGGATTTTCATGGATCCCTCCCTTTTTTAAAAAACAACAACAACAACAATCCACAGATTGCTGCAAAAATGTGGAGAATGGAATTTAAGGCTGGAAAAAAACATAAGAAACTGAGAGCACTAAAATTGTCAGTCTCCCATTTCTAAGTGCTGGTAATGTTGTCCTGAAGAAGGGTTGATCAAGTGCTGTGCTTTTAACCCCTTAAGCAAGTCATTAATGAATCTAGATAAATTGGACAGATTTTAATGAAGCAACTCTGGATTTATACCCATGCTACTAAATGAATGAAAAGTCACACTTAGTTCTCTCTCTCTCTCTCTCTCTCTCTCTCTCTCTCCTTTCCCCCCACCCTTCCCAAGACCTGCTACAGGCCTTCTAATGTTACACACACCTCATGGGTTGCTGGGCCACAACCTGACCTTAAATTTGTATGAAAAATTAAGTGGAAGGCAGACGACTGAGTTGTGGTTTCTTTCAGTTTCATATCATTGCCTTTTGCATCTGGCTGAAAGAAAGAAAAAAGGAGGGGAATGCAGCTGCCTGATACTATAATGTCACTTTCAAGTTCTTCACTGAAATAGCGTAAGCTGGGCTTAGAGCCATTTTTCAGCCAATTCTTCTTCCAGGAAATGTGATGATGTGAAGACAGACAGGACTGAGGAAAGAACAGTCCAAGACCCGTCTCACTCACTCTATTACTACGAATCACCCTGTTACGGAAGAAAAACTACATTGCCTTCGTTGCTTCAAAAGAAGTAAAATGATGTGACAAAGCCAGGAAGTTAAATTAAACAGAGCCTAACTACAAAATCAATTACACCATTGGCATATCCCCCCACCCCCCACTCCAGTTCTAATTAAAAGTCCCCGGAAATCTATCTTCCGAGTTGGAACAAAATCTCAACTTGGGATAAAAATAAACTAGGTCACTTGACAGCAAGTTTATATATGCAAACAAGGAGCTTCTTTCTGGGGCAATGTTCTTAATAGAGAATGGTGGAGGCGAAATGAAATGTCTAGCACCTAAATGAGTAAATGCAGAGGGTTAAAAAAAATGGGATACTTGTACCTAAGTGGGGGAAGCATGCTCCTAACATGCTCACCAAAGCT